CCCCCGCAGATGAAAGGGCTGTCATGGGCAAGTAGGCCCATCAGTGGTTTGGGCCCCTGGGGTCTTGTTTTTGCTGTTATTTCCTCTGCCTAAAAATAGCATTTTCTATTGTTGGTACCTAGTTTAGAACAAAACTGTGTGTTGGTCAGAAGTTAGGGCAGCAGCAGACTTCCTGACTGCCTGTGGCCCAAGGGCACAGTGAGTCCTAGGTTCTGGGAGTCTCTGGGAAGCAGGGACCCTGATTTAGCATGAAGTGGTTCATCGGTAAAGTTAAAGTAAAAACTTAATTTTAAAAGAAAAGGAGAAAATATGCATAGAGTTAGCCAGAAAAAACAGCCACTTAAAATGAATTGAGCCAGCCCCCCTCCTTAGAGGAGCAATGTCCTGTTTTGTTCAGTGCTGCCCTGGCTTGTCAACTGCCCAGAGTCCCATTTTTTAATTGCCCCACAGCCAGGAAATTCCTGCTGAAGAAAGAGTGGCTCCATCCTCTCCTGGGTCTTTGCCTTTCCTTGGCTCCTCCTGTGGCCATGTAAGCCGACCCTGAGGGGACCTGGCGCAGTGGTCAGGGCTACTTCTCCTGTCTTGGCTGAGGGCATGATGGATGTTGCCTCGGCCTGACTCCCTGTGTCTCCTGTTACTGTAATGATGAAATGAACCAAGCTAATGAATAGTGCTTGGCATGTAATAAGGTGAATTACAGTCCCACATTGGCGGGCCCCTTGTTTTCAGCCTAACAATAGCTACCACAGCTCATGAGAAATACAGACACACCCTGCTTACAAGTGGAGGAAACACTGGTGGCACCTAAGTTAATATATGAGTGTGCCTCAGAAAGTGTGTAGAAAAATAGAATTAAAAGATAATACAGGGTTCGGATCCCCTCACTGGCCAGCTGCCAAAAAAAAAAAGAAGATATGAATTTTTCCATGAGTTTTTTGAAGACCCTTGTTGGTTTGACCTTGCGTGGTTCAGACATGGTGCTGAGTGTGCCTGGGAGGACATCTCTGTGCTCTCTGAGAAGAGGCAGCGGTGGTGGGCCAGGGCCTTGCTCCTCTCTCCTGCAGCTGCCCATTCCATATTGCTGACTATAGGTCGGAGGTGTCCAGAGAACCAGCCTTTGATCCAGCTCTACCTGCAAAACCTGATATTTGGATAGTTACCCAAGCCTGTGTCTTCTTTTCTCAATTCGTTCTGGATTCTGAAGAGAGGAGCAGGGTTATTAAGTAGCTCTCTTAAATCTCTCAAAGTGGTATTCCAAGACTGGAAATAGTTGCCTCAGAATCATGTGATATGGTCTGTAGCTCATGCATTCGTCATGACCATGGACTCATAGAATATTTGGCTGGAAGGATCCTCAGGCAGGCCTTTAGCCCATGGGCACCATGATCAGGGTGAGAGTGGGGGCTGAGCAGTGAACACTAGTTGTTCTGAAGACTTGAGGTTGGCAAGAACAGCTCTGGCATAACCTTGATACTCAGTGGACATGTTAGGGATCTTGGTAGCAAGCAACGGACCCTGCTTCTGGGCGACTTAGAAAGGAGTGTGTTGGGATGCTGTAGGGAGAGGGACACACAGGGCTGGTTGGCAGTAGGCGCCAGGCGGGACGAATGGGCAGCACAGCAGCACCTCGTGGCCATAGCCACCTTCCCTCTGTAGCTGCTATCCTGGAGCCCCTGCAAGTGGCCCTTTGTCCCTTGCTCAGGTTGAAAGAGTGTCTGATTGGCTGACATGAGTTCTGTGTCCACTCCTGGCTTTCATAAGCTCCCACTCCCTCAGCTTCCTGCTTTCTGGTTCTCTGGATATGGGTACCTGGAATTATTCTCCCACCAAAATCACAAGTATAAGGGCAAGACAATTTTAAGAAAAAGTTAGAGAAGGAAATGGCTGGTAGGGAGTTGGACATCACCAGATGACTCCTGTCGTGGGGTGGCCAGACGTGGTGCCTGGGGCCAAGCGTGTTGAGCAAGGAGGTGCTTGAGAGCTATGAGAGTGCTGAGTTTGGGCGCATCTGCTCCACTCAGGGAAGGCCTGTACGGGAGGCTCGGTGGGTGGATACGGGGGTGGGGTGGGGTGGGAGAGAGAGGGCTGGAGGGAAGAGTGTTCTAGATGTGTGTGGGGTTAGAGGTAAGATGGTGTGTGGCCTTAGCGATGAGAGGAAGGTGGAGAGGCTGGCCAGGGTCCCACAGAGAAGGGAGGACAGGACTGTGCTGGAGCCCATGTATCGTTCTGCCTCTGCCACCGCCAAAAGGAATACCAGTTGAGGGGCTGGGGGTGTTGACGTTTATTCTCAGGCAGTGACTAAGAAAGTTCTGTTATGGCACAGGGGCCTCTGTGAGAAATGTTCTCAAGGTCAACAATCAGGAAGAGTGTGGCCCTGATGTGGGAAGTTTGCATGGAAGGAGAGGTGACGAGCTGAGAGAGTGGGAGCAACGGAGCTAGCACTGGCCTCGGGTGCCAGCCAGGACTGCGGGGGAAGTGGCCGTCTCTCTCCCTCTCTCTCCAGTGAAGTGACAGCGAAAACATTCATGTTTCTGAAAAACGAAGCTGGACACCAAACCAGAGGTGGTGGGGAGAGGGGAAAGGGCAGAGAGGGCTGCTGGCTGATCTTTGGGCAGATGGGGTATTTGGAAAGTCCAATATATTAGAATGCCTTTGATCTGCCTACAGAGTACACTTTTCTGAATGACACCCAGGAGGGTCCTCTTCAGTGGAAAATGTGAATCGTCACTTTGAGAGGGAGGTAGGACTTGCCACTATGTCACATTGGGCGGCCAGGGCGGCCCCTGGCACAAAGGATCCTACCACTCAGGCAGTGAGAGACCTGAGTTCCTCAGAGTTGGGTACTCTGGGTAGAAATGCACAGGTACATACAGGACAGCCAGGCTCACCCACCTGTGAGGAGATGCTCCACGTGGTGCAGGAGAAGAAAGCGCTGAAGCTCTGTACATCAGGGCAGGAGAGAACGTCTCATGGAACAAAAGGGCCATGTGCGCAGGTTCTAGAAAGGAGTAGGCAGAAGTGAGAGTGGGAAGGAGGGAGGGCGTTTCAGAAAGGAAGGCCACGTGAGCAGAGGCAGGGGCAGGAAATGGGATGGTGCCTCACTCCCTGGTCACAGTTTTCCAGCAGCCAAGGCCAGATCTCATTGTCATACTTCCTGCATGATTTTATCACGTCTGCGTTCCACCTATTTATCATTACTTTTTATTTAAATTGCTTTTAAAAAATTAATTTTTTAAATTCAAAATATTTTAACATTTACTTTTACATATTTGTGGGGTACAGTATGTTGTTTGGTACATGCATATACTGCATGATGATTCGCTTAGTGTAGATAGCATAGTTTTGTGCCTGTTAGTCCACCACTTCCATGCTGCCACCACCCACTTCCTCCCAGCACCTCTGGTGACCATTATTACATTGCTTTTTTCAAACTAGAACAACGTTACTTGAAATGGAAGATTAGATCCCCGCTGTGATGGCATATTAGTGTAACTGCCTTGGTCTTTATTTACCATTAGCTTTTCTGGGCCCCCATCTGCCCCTTTGGTAGAGCTTTGAGCTTCGTCTTGGAGCTCTTCTGCATAGCCATGCCCTCCACTGCTACCAGCCTGATCGTTTATCTTTTTAAACTGGATTGATCTTTTGTTATGTGAGTGGCTTAGAAATACCCTCTCTCTGTGGGAAGTCAAACAGATGCAGTCTGGTGCCCATGGCCCCTCCTAGCCTTGGCCGTGCCTCTTTCCTGCAGTGTTGCTGTGTTGGTTCTATTATTGTTTTAAATTTAAATGGTATCCTAATGTCTGTTTTTTCCCTGTGGTTTTTTTCCAGAGTGATTATCTAAGGCATGAATCTTTTGAAATTAATTATTTTAATAAGTGAGAGCAGTAATCCATACTCTAGGTTTAAGAAGTTTCGCGGTACAAAAGGGGAATTCTGAGACCCAAAGCTGACCCTATCCCTGTTCTGCTTCCAATGTGGAGAGGCCCCTGCTGCTTGCGGGAGAAGGGCCACCCCTCCCTGGTCCGCAGGGCCCTGGTGGTTCAGCTCCTTCTCCCCACAGCCTCATCTGCCCTGCTGGCCCTGCTGCCTTCCCTGGCTAACAGATGTCCAGTCACCCATGGCCCCTGTAGTACTGGGCTCTGTAGGTACCTCCTTCCCAGACTGATGGCCCCAGACAGTGGTCTCTGGGCTGTGAGCCTCCTGCTGGCAGTGACAGTGTGAGGTACACTAGGGTACAGGTTCCAGCCAGACTTTCTGGGCTCATCACTGGCTCTGCCCAGCTGGGTGGTATGACTCTGGGCAAGTCAGCTCACCTCTCTGCGTCTCAGCCTCTTTCTTCAACTGCACTTGGAAGAGGATGCTAGTATCTAACTTGGAGGGCTGTTGGGAGGATCAATTAATTGTTGTATGAAAGGTGCTCAGAACAAGCATTTATAAGCCAGGCCTCTGCTGTGGTGACTGCTCACTGTGAGCCGCTCTTCCTACCCTGGTAGTTCTTCAGTTACACTCCAGTGCCCAGCACAGGGCCTGGCTTGTTAGTGCTGGATAAATGGTTGTCGAATAAAGGGAGAAAGGGATAAAAATCTACCTAAGATGTGTAGGAAGTGCGGGGGCAGAGGCGGGGGCCGCGGTGGAGGAGCTGGGGTGAAGTTGCGTGCCATGGGAGCTCTCTGCAGGTGCTGCCTGGGGAAGTGATCGGGAGGTGGCGGGGCTGTGAGCGAGCAAGGGCTGGAAGACCATGGTAGGCCCAGCAGTCCGTACCATCGTGGGGCCTTTCTGCCTCTCAGCACCCTCTGCCTGTTGTCTGCCTGCCCTCAAGTACCCCAGGAAGAAAGAAGCCACGTGCTGCTGGCATTTGCCCAAGAGGGCCTTCACCAGTTTCTGGCTTTGCTGTCCCATGTGTTCAGGTGTGACAGAATGATTGAAATAAGCTACCCTTTTTTGATGAACTGCCCCGGTTTTTTTTTTTTTTTTTTTTTTTTTTGCCTGTTTGTTTCCAGGCAATGCTACTGTGGAGAAGTTGGAGGACTTCATCAACAACATTAACAGTGTCCTGGAGTCCTTATATATTGAGATAAAGAAAGGAGTCACAGAGGATGACGGGAGACCCTTTTATGCACTGGTGAGTGGGGGACAGAGCCCTCTGGTGGCATTTGTGAAGAAATAGAACAGAGCCTGCCCTGGACAAATGCCCCATCTGTGAAGAGCCCAAGTACTCCCTGCTACGACAAGGTCCCTGAGGTGAGGGCGAGAAGGAAACAAAGTGGCCAGCCCCACTGATCCAGCCTGTCCTCTGGGCTCAGATTGGGGGTGTCCAGACCAGAGCCTGGGCCCTCAGCCTCAGAGTTCCACATGTGCCCACAGGAGCCCCTGCCTGAACCCTGGTGGCCTGTGTGCACTTTGTTTTGATTTTACTTTGAGACAGTTCTCTGCAGAGAGGCCACCCCACATGTATGGAGTGTAGGAATAAAGGGAGAAAATGGTTTTTCATTTAGAATAAGACACAGAGGCTGTGAAAAGTGTGTGGGAACATTAGGGACTGAGGCCTCTTGGGCCCTGTTGTCTTCCGTTTACCCTCACAGCTAGAGAACGAGGTGAAATACAAAGGTGGGGGCTGAAATGCCCCATCTGTGGCCAGGGAGCACCACAGGCTGGTCAGTGGACATCAGGCCCCTCCCAACCAGGACTAACCCAGAGAGGAACACCCTAGTCTGGGGTGTTTCCAAAACTATTCCATAGAAAAAGTGTTATACAGTCAAATAACTGTAGGAATGCTGGGTGAGACAAGGTAAAGCAGATTTTTTTACTACCAGACTTCTTGGTGCCCTGTGTATTGGAAGTTCCGTTAACATGCAGATAAGTTTCCAGGATATCTCTGAGTTTAAGAGTATTGCACAACCTTTGGAGTTCTAAAATCTCTGAGAGCCAGGCATGTTGGCTGAGCTAAAGATGAAGGTCTGTCATATAAGACTGGTTACAAATCTGTCTCTGTGGCCGGCAGCGCCTGCACACAGGAGCTCAGTGACTGGCTAGAGAGGGAGATGGGGCAGAGTGAGAGCCAGAAAAGAATTGCCTGACAAGTGGAGGGGCACAGCCTGACCCTCATGCTGACTTGTTTTTAGGTGAATCTTGCTACAACTTCAGTTTCCAAAATGGCAACGGATTTTGCGGAGAATGAACTGGATCTGTTTAGAAAGGCTGTAAGTACAGTAATTCCCATTGCCTGTTGGCTGGGCTTCCTATGGGAAACTTCTGTCTCCATCATTAAACTGCAGTCTTTAAGGGTCACTGGGGGGACACAGGCCACCACTGCTGCCCAAGAAAGCCCTTTGCAGGGAGGTGTCACTGAGTACTGCATCCAGAATTACAGCCGCCAGGTGTTTGCTGGGGAGGCCACCATGACTGCCTGGGAAAGAAGGGCTGGACCAGGTGTGAGCCGTATAGGATGAGCAGGAGCAGGGCCTCATGGGTGGTAACAAGCGTTCCTACCTGCCGCTCAAAGTGCCGTTATGAACAGTGGCAGCATCGTCCAGGAACTTGTTAGGCCAGAGCCCGGTCTGCACCCCAGATGGTTGAATCCAAATCTGCATTTTAACAGGGTGTCCACTGAGTCATTTGCAAGTTCACATTGGAGGGGCACTGCTCTACCAGACTGCAGAGCCATTTGCTCAGCCCTGGATGCTGTAAAAAGGACTGGGGAGCTTAGGAATAATTCAGACACTTGTTCCTCACTCAAGATTTGTCCAGTCCAGAGCTCTGAGGACCAGGTCCTGGAGTGGTTACTTATAAATCTTCTCCTGGGCCTGTGAGCAGCCGACATTGAGCACCAGGCTCTAAGATGAGCGACACAAACTTGTATGTGTGCAGGTATCCCATCTTCCCCAGTGGCTCCACCCTGTTTTGGGCAGAAGTTTTAGGTGAGCTTGCCTGGCCCTGGGTCCACATGGCCTCTGCAGCTCCCGAGCCTTCCCCTTTCCTGGGCCAGCCTGGCCCTCCCTCCCTGGCTCTAGTCTGCCACTGAGGTCTGCCTTGATGGCCCACCCACCTTTGAGTAAGGAGAGGTGCCGCTCACTGATACAGTCATTCTTTTCTCAGCTTCTCTGCCTTCAGGGAGGAGGGGCGGGGGGCAAGAGAGGTGACCTGACTCTTCTTGAATTTTGGACATTAAGATTATTTATTTAGGAAGACATGACAGGAGTGACCTTTGAGTCACTTTGGCTTTGATGCATATTATTGAACTGTTTCCATGAAGTGTCGTACCAGTGCACAGTTCTGCCTGTGATACGAGTAGTTTTACTGCATCCCTGCTGGAACTGCTATTACCACTTAAAAGCTGTTTTTGCTGATTTAATAGATGAACGTGCTACCTGCTGTTTCTTCCAGTTGGAACTGATTATTGACTCGGAAACTGGCTTTGCATCTTCCACAAACATTTTGAACCTGGTCGATCAACTTAAAGGCAAGAAGATGAGGAAGAAGGAGGCTGAGCAGGTGCTGCAAAAGTTTGTGCAAAACAAATGGCTGATCGAGGTACCGTGTCTGTTGGTTTCCCCAACCTGGCTCACTCCTCTAGAACCATATTTGTATCTACCTGATGTCTGTGGAGCCAGGCCCTCTTGGGCCCCTTACTGCTTGAGTGCGCTTGGTGGCCCTGTGAGGAGGATTTGGGTACCCTCCTCTGGTTTAGTTGCATGAGTTGTTCATGTGCCCAGGCAGAAGTGGCCAAGCTAGGAATTTTACCAGACTTTTGGGCCCCAGGATCAAGCTGCTGGTTCAGTGGTTAACATCACAGCTCTGGAGTCTGATCTGGGTCTGACTCCTCAGCCAGGTGACCTCATATTTGTTCCCTTCTCTGAGAGGGGAGTGGCAGTTTCCACCTTGCGGGGGTATGAAGAGGAGCAACGAGACAGGGCAGTGACATGCTCAGTGCTGGGCTGCCTGGCCCTGGAATGGGCTTACAAAGAAGTTGCCATTATTATTGGTGGTATTATTGTCAACGTTACATTATTCAGGGCCATGCTCCCGGTTCTTTCACTTAGCCAGAGGCCCTTAAGGAGCAAAGAGACCGACTTTTTTTTTTTTTTTTTTCTGACCGGTAAGGGGATTGCAACCCTTGGCTTGGTGTCGCCTGCACCACGCTCAGCCAGTGAGCGCACCGGCCATCCCTATATAGGATCCGAACCCGCGGCGGGAGCACCGCTGCGCTCCCAGCGTCGCACTCTCCCGAGTGGGCCACGGGGCTGGCCCAAGAGACAGACTTTTAAAGAGGAGCTGTGGAAATCTGGGAAAGGACCAGACTGCAGATTCAGTTTCTAGATACTGTCCCCAGCCCCCATGTTTTGTTCTCCTGATCGGAGCAGAACAAATGCTTCAGTTCTTTTTCCACAAGAGGCACCACTGTTTCCAAGAAATGCGGGCCTGACAGCTCGGTGTTTGCCCAGTTGACCACAGCTCTGGCCCGCGAGTGCCTTTGCCTATTCAGGATGTGCTCACATTGGCCCTCGTCTTCCTGACTTGGTGCTCAGACCTGTGGCCGGAGGTTGCTGCTTGTGGCTGAAGCCATCCTTCACTTCCTTTTCCGGGAGAGCTGGCCTCAGGTTGTCATTTTTGGGCTCCAGGAGTGAGCCTTTGAGTTCTGAGTTACTGATTTCTGTAAGTAGTGGGCCACCCCTACTAATCTGACTCGAATTCAGTTCCTGGGGTACCTGATGGGAGGAAAGGGCAGAAAGGTCACAGGGAGGGGTGGTGGTGGGGAGGTGAGGGCAGGTAGGGGGGCTCCTGGTGAGTGCCTGGATCTGCTGGGCACATCCATGTGCATCAGGCCCTGGAGTCTTCCTGTGGCCCTGTGGCGGGTCCATTTGCTCAGGTTTTAGCTGCACACTGCAGCTCAGTGGTTGCGTGGGTGTCTGACACCCTGAGTGGCAGAGCCAAGTTCAGGCCCCAGTTTGGTGACTGCAGCTCCCCATCAGTTGCTTCGTCACAGTTTTTCTTCCTCTCTGGGGTGTATTTGGCAATAGGAGACGTTCTCAGGCCGCGCAGGTTATAAGTGACAGTTCTTTCTTGTGGTGCACTCTCTTCGGGCCCTGCTTTTTAAGGGCAGGGGTTACAACCTCTTCACCATCGCTCCTAGTGCAGAATGTAGTGCCTGGCCCCTAAGGCACTTGGTAATTGCTTGCTGAATGGATGACTGGACAGGAGAATGAAGTTCCAGTGGAACTGTTTATTTAAAACTTATTAAAAAAGATACAAGAGATACTTGCTCATGATGAGCAGATTAGGAAATATTGATGTCATAGAGAAACCCACTGAAGTCATGTGTTGTCCCACCGCCTGGCACTCAGCATGCTGGCATCCCCGTTCACAGCGCTCTGCACTCTGCTTTGTACTCATGAGTGTGCGCATAGTCAGCTACGCCCATAGCAGCGTGTCAGCCCCTGTCCTCCATGCTGGTCCTGCCTTCCTCAGAGCGGCTTTCAGCTCTCATGGGAGGGAGGACCAGGAGGCTCTGTGGGCTGCCGAGGGAAGGAGGGAGCACTGCAGAAGTAAGGATGGCACTTGGAGGACTCCTCTTGCTGACTTCTGGCCCTCTATCGCCTTCATCTCTGGGACTGTGTTGCCTCCACTGAGAGTGAGGACATTTTGCTCCCAGCTGTTTTCTCTGAGGGGCAAATGCTTTCTGAACAGGTCGGCCTAGTGACGGTTGCTGTGAAGTCTGTGGCAGTTTGGAGGAACAGCTGAGGGATTGCGGGGTGGGGTGCAAGCTGGCCACTGACAAGCCTCCCTGAGGGCAGCACCTTGATCAGAAGGGCTGTGTTTCAGGGTCTGATCCTTGGCCTCTCAGAAATGGGACTTCCCACAGAAGTAGCTTGGTGCCCGCTAACCAAGGTCATATCAGGTGGATGCATCACCCAAGGGACACTTTGTCATCATTGTGATGGGAGGCTTGCTCCATGTTTGGAGAGCCCTGCGCCCTGTGCAAGACTGTCCTGGTGTGGAGGTGCTGAGGCGTGTGTGCAAAGGCCCTGAGTGGAGGGGCTCGGATCAGTGGGTGGGCCTCTGAGAGAAAGCCGGACAACAGGAGCGTGGTGTCCACTGACCAGCTGCTCTCCACACATCCTGGACCCTGCTGCCCTGTGCAGAGTCCCAGCCTGGAAATGTTGTTTTGTGGGGCCTGGACATGACTTGAGTTGTGGTTGTCTTTGGCAGGCTAGGGCACCCCACCTGCCCCTCCCTCTCCCCCTGATGGGCCCACAGAGACTGAGTAGGGTCAACAACAAAAAGCACTGGGTGCAGTTGTAGGCACATAGTAGAAGTTTAATGCCACTCGAGCCTGAGTATGAACTTGAACTTGTTCATCAGAGTGTGGGGCATTCCTCCTTGGGATTGATGCAAGCGATCCAGCATGGGACCCCACACCAGGTGCTAGGGACACAAGAATGAGCAAACCTGGTCTTGGTCGCTGCTGTCATGGGGCTCATGTTCTGGGAAGGGAGCCCGAGATCAGTTGGTTGCCTCAGTGACATGGAGTTACAGATGAAGAGGAGGAAGCACAGGAACCAGCCTCAGCTGAGGAACTGACTCTGGGGGAAGGCTGGGGGGCAGTTAACTGGAGTTGGGGCTGGGGAGGATCCTGAGCCTGTGCAAAGGGCCTGTGGATGGAGGGCGAGGCCAAGGAACTAAGGCCAGGGTGGTCTGAGCATGCAGACTGCGGGCAGAGTGGACAGGGTGAGCCCAGGAGATGGCACAGCAGGGATCTGGCCCTTCAGCTTTAGGTGGTGGGAAGCCCTGAAGGCTGGGCAGAAGCGACAGGGCCAGGCTTGTTTTGTAGAGCTCATGTTGCCAGTGGAGAGTGGGTTACAGAGGGGCAAGAGTGGGCTCAGAGGGAGCACTCAGGAGGAAGTGATAGTGGATTAGGTGGTGGCTGTGGATATGAAGCACCATTACGGATTTGGGAGCTTGTGAGAAGGTAATAGTCACAGGATGGAGGACAGCTGGGGAGCTGGTCACATCCTCATGCCCACAGCACTTGAAGGGCACAAGGCCCCTGTGTGCCCTGTGACAGCTGCGGTGCAGGACACTGGTGCCTCACACACCACCTTCCTCCACTTCTGAAATCCAGCCAGGCTGCCACCCTGCTTCCTGCAGTCAGCTGTCCTGCCTCCCTGGCTGCACAGCCACTCGCCCCTGTCTCCTTCCAGGTGGTCGCTTGGCCCTGAATAAATGCACACCCCTGGCTTTCACCTTGATCTCAAGCCCAGGTTACACATACGCCTGCCCCCTACCCCCCCACATTCCACAGTGAGCATGGAGGTGGGAACGAGGTGGGGGGTTGTCTATCAGAAATAGGAGTAACAGCTCTTACTTGTAAAAATGAGAAAATAACAGAAAGGGAATGAGCACCCAGGGTAACTCGGCAGGCTTCTGTCTTCAGTGGTGCCATCTCCTGGCAAGGCCTGAGCCATCTAGCTCCCCCAGCCCACCCCCCACACGCTATTCAGTGTGCCTTTGCCCAGGACCCTGACCCCCCTACGCTGGCACCTCCCTGTTAACACCAGGGGAGAGGATCAGACAGTAACAAAAATGGTTAAAGGTTCACATTCCCAGTCCATTCGTTGACTGTGATACATAAAGTCAGCCTGCTCGGGTTCTGTGACCTTTGTCTCCGTGCTGGGTTTCTTTCAGTCCTGCCTCTTTCCTGCAACGTGGCAGTAGGGCCAGCCAGGGTGGCCGCATCGTTTACTCACTTCCTGGCTTTGCCAGGGTGTTCAGGCCGCGTGGCATGTGAACCGTGTGCGGCTTCTCCTGGAGGCTCCCCTGCCCACCCTGTGATTTGGGGTCTGTCCCTGCCCTCTCTGGACTCCTTCCAGCTTCGTCTGTAAAGTGGTGTGGCCAGAAGTGATCTTGGATGGTCCCTGCAGAGGCCCCAGGCAGCAGTGCTGGGAAGTGCTGATCTGCTGCTTTTGGGGAGTGGGTGGGGGCGGCTGGGGGGAAGTGGAAGCGGTGGTTCTGCCCCATGGGGAGATTGACCCTTGTGCCACATCCATGTCCTCCCCTGCAGGGGGCTGCTCTGCAGATGCAGCGCTCGCTGCCTGTGAGAGAAGAGACTGAGGAAAGGCAGGGGCGGGGGAGCCTCACCTCCATTGCCTTTTAGGTCCTTGCCTCAGTTTTCCTTGTTGGAGGCACTGCCAAGGGGGTTGGTGACAGCATGCAGTGGTGAGGAGCATCCAGATCCTTGTGTCTTCCTGGGCTCCAGGCTGTGGGACTGCAGAGGGAACAGAGGCGCTGAGGGGCCTGGCTGAGGACGGCCACCTCTCTTCTGTCCCTGCAGAAGGAAGGGGAGTTCACCCTGCATGGCCGGGCCATTCTGGAGATGGAGCAGTACATCCGGGAGACCTATCCCGACGCCACGAAGATGTGCAATATCTGCCACAGACTCCTCATCCAGGTGCGGTTGGGGGGCTGGCTGCACGGTGAGCACGGTGCCTTCCAGAATTCTCATCTACCTCGACTGCTGGAACTGCCATTACATGCAACCCCCTGCTCCTGCCACACTAGGGCACCCTCTTCTCCCCAGTGCCTCTGCTGTAGTCTGAGGGCTCGTCCTTACTCTATTTTTCTCCAGAAAGGCTCTCACAAGTCTTTCGTGTGACCTGTATTGGCAGTTTGGTGGTGAACTCTTCCTGTGTTGATCATTGTTTTTTGAAGTCTGTTTTACACTGCATGCATCACAGGGCCCTACAACCATGGAACTAGTGCTAGACATTTGTTTTCCTTTTTAATTTTCATCTTTTTGCAATTATAAACTATGCTGTGATAGGCCTCTTTGCACATATACCCTTGGGCACCTGGTGATTATTTCCTTGGGTTGAATTCCCAGAAGAGGAATTTCTGGGACAAAGAATGCACATGTGTCTTTTTTTTTTAAAGCTCCTGATCCACATGGCCAAGCCGCCTTCAAAAGCCGTGCTGTCTCCACCCCACTGCAGAATCTGACGGCGGCTATGCTGGGCCTGGTCTGTGCAGGTTCAGCCTCTTCCACCTGCCCTAATTGGTCCTGAAGTCTTTAGAAAAACCCACTGCACTAAGGACTTTAGGGATTATCATCAGTATCAGCTTGTGGCCTGGAAGATAAATCTATTTAGGTTGCTGGCCATTTTTCTTGCAGCTTCCCTGAAGGTTTGTGAAACACCAGGGTATGTATGAGCTCCACAGTCATTGGCCTTTCTTGTTTCAGGGTCAAAGCTGCGAAACCTGTGGGATCAGGATGCACTTACCTTGCGTGGCCAAGTATTTCCAGTCGAATCCTGAGCCACACTGCCCGCACTGTAATGATTACTGGCCCCATGAGATACCAGGTTCGTGGTCCCTGGGCGCTCACGGGAGGCACTGGGGTAGTGGAACACAGGACCTGGCACTGAGAAAGCCCTCGTAGATGGTGCATTTGTTCCCCTGTGAATTGGGGCTCATTCTGCCTTCCTCACAGCCTGGGGAGGAGGGTTCTCAGTGACGGATGTTGCAGACACAGGCAGGCGTAGCTGTAGCCTCGAGCTGGCATTACTGTGCAACCAGCCCCTGCCATTCACTGTTTCTTTCTGGCCTTTTCTGTGTGCAGAAGTCTTCGACCCTGAGAAGGAGAGGGAGGCTGGTATCTCCAAGTTGAACAAAAAGTCCTTGCGGTACAGGCAGCATTAGCTGATGTATCCTGCTGAAGGGCTCACCGCCTTCGGTGACCTGGGCTATGCCACCCAGTCTGGATGAGACTCGTCAGCGTTTCAGGCTGCACATGAGCCACCTCCCTTGCTCTTTATGTTTGTTAGTGACAGGTTTGGAATAAAAGTATTCAAAGGAGTTGCTGCAGTCTCAGTCTGTGTTCTTGAGCCTGTGCGTGTGAGGTTTTGCGGGTGGCCTTTCCTTCTTTCCTGAAGTTCAGATGGTAACTCGCTGCTGCAGCTGGCAGAGTGCTCCTGCACGACCACACTGTTCCAGAGCCTCCACCGGCCAGAGCAGCTCAGGGTGGCTTTGCCTTCAGTCCTAGCTGTGGTCAGTTGTTTCGTCAGGACTGGACTTGAACCTTGGCCTCCCCTACTCCCCACAGTCTGGCTCTTCCTATGGTGCAAGGTGCAGCTGGCCTGAGTGGGCACGTGGTAGGCAGCTCTGCCCAGCCAGCTGCTCCAGCTGGGAGCCGAGAGTCGGGCTAGGTGCCTCCGCCTTCCTGGCCCCACTGCAGCCAGTTGTCACCAAGTCCTGTCTAGCCCACCTGCCAAATGGCCCTCCAGCCCCATGGCTGCTCCCCAGCCCAGGCCCTCACCCACGCCTGCAACTGTTGCTCCCTGCACCATCTCTCCCACTAAGTGAGTCAGTATACCATGCCTCTGCTGAAGACCCTTTGATGGCTGCCACTGCTCTAGCAGGATCATGTGACCCACGGCGAGGGCTGTTCGTCTTTCAGTACCCCTCCCTCCCCCACTGTCCAGGGTGCAGCATTTCTTACACTGCTGCTGCCTCTGTGCACAGAGTCCCCTCTGCCTGCACACTCTCCCGTCCTGTTTTCTGCCTTTCCTGGCTGGCATCTGCCCACTCCGTAGGCCCTGGTCAGCCTCTCACAACTGCAGCACCCAGTCCCCCTCCCTGCATGTCCTTGGTTGTCACCCTTGCCACACTGGGTCTCCCTGTCTCCCTGCCTCTCTTCCACTCCAGTATCAGTCAGGACCCTTCAGTCATGACAGAAAAGCCAACTCAAACTGGCTCAAACAAGGAAGGACTTGGCTAGAGGGGTCCTTCAGGAGAGGCTTGTGCTAGCAGTTCCAATGATGTCACCAAGCATTCATATTTTTGTTTCCACATTGAGCTGGCCTCATGCTTAGTGCTACAAGATGGTTTCCCCGACATTCCGGCCACTTTCCTCATGGTGGCAAAGTGGCTGCCATATTCCAGCCCTCACACACTCATGCCCATGTCAGGAGGAAGAGGATGGGTCTCGTCTCATGGCTCCCCATGCCCCAGCAAACATCCTCCTGGCTCATAGTGCCAGATACTTATGGAGGTGGGATGGGATAATCCAACTGGCATTAGACAATCAAGGCTCACTCACCTGTGAGCCAGGGGTGGGTAGGTCAGTCCCTCCCAAGACACATGGCTGAGTGAGGAGGGGGTTCTTCCTGAGCAAGTTGAAGATGCTATTGCCAGGCAGGAGGCGCTGAACTGTGAGCACCGAATTAGTGGGGTGGCCTCCACCCGTGCAGACAGGGACACTGCCTTGTTCACCTCCATTGACCTAGTGTGAGGTGGGTATGTAAGACATGGTGAATGAATGCCACCTGCTGGACCAGATCCAAGTCCAGAATCCTCATGCCCACTGATCATGGACCCTGGACTTGGTGGGGAGCTTTGTAGGTGTGTCAGGCAAGCAACAGAAGCCACCCCCTGCTGGCTTAACCAGAAAAAAGGACAAGACAGCTTGCTGAAATGATAAGAAGGCAGAACCAGTTTAGAAAAGATGGACCTTGGAAAGGGCGGTTCCGGACAGTTGGTCACAAGAAGGACTGCTGCTGCAAGAAGTTGGCTCCAGCCTTTCGTTCATCCTCCCAACAGGCCCTCAGTGCAGCTCCCGGGAGTGGCCCTTGATTTATAGCCCTCCAAGACTGCACTCCCCGGGGGAAAGGTAGTGCTCCCAAGTGCCATCAAGGTGCTGTTCCAGAGGAAGGAGAAAGGGTGCCAAGCGGCGAGGAGCCAGCCAGCAGATAGCATGGCCAGGGGCGGGCAGTGTGGGACAGCTGGTGTATTAGTCCGTTTTTGTGTTGCTATAACAGAAATACCTGAGACTGGGTAATTTATAAGGAAAAGAGGTTTATTTGGCTTACGATTCTGGGACAGCTGCGTCTGGCACGGGCCTCAGGCTGCTTCTACTCATGGAAAGTGGCAGGCAGCCGGTGGGTACAAGCAGATCACATGGCGACAGGAAGCAAGAGAGAGAGAAGAAGGTGCCAGGGTCTTTTTAAGCAATGAGCTCTCGTGGGAACTAATAGAGTGAGAAACTCACTCTTTAATCCCCCCTCCCCCAGGGAGAGCATTAATCCATTCATGAGGGATCCGCCCCCATGACTCAATCAGTTTCCAACACTGCCACATTGGGGATCAAACTTCCACATGAGTTTTGGAGGGGACAACACATCCAGACTCCATCAGCCGGCTTCCCGCTTTTCTGCTCAGTTGCATGGTTCTGGTGGTCAAGAGGACACACAATCGTACAGTTCAGGTGAGTCCTCAGTGAGTCCTCGTTGGTGACCCAGAAAGCCTCTGAGCACCTTGCTGCTGGGGACACTGGCCCTCCTGCTACTACTAGTGTCCCCTGCCTCCAACCTGCTTCTGATGAACGTCACACCCCGGGCATCAGCATTCCTCATCGTTGGGCATTCAAGGCCTGTCCCGCCCACCTTCCCTTCCATGCCTGCCCTCCCGTGGCGCCCCTGACCTGTCCTTCTAGGAAGTGCTGACTGGACCTGTGTGACTCTGCTCTTCGGGTTCCCGGTGTCCCCCATCCAGGCCTTGTCCACACTGCAGCAGCATCACACCAGTCACACCAGGCTCAGCCCCTGCCATCCTCCCCACCCTCACCACTCCAGCTGCAAGGATTCCTTCCTTTCTCCCCCAGGCTGAGGCTGTCCTGCCTTGGGGTTGTCTCCCTGCCATGGGGAGCTCCCGCTCAGATCTCATGGCTCATTCCAGATTCCTGGCCATTCCAGCTTCTTTCTATTCAAATGCCAACTATCAAAAAATCATGTCCCCACCAACAATCGCCATGTCCCGTTACCCCATTCTCATTTTATTTAATTAATTAATTTTTTGGTGACCGGTAAGGGGATTACAACCCTTGGTGTGGTGTCGCCTGCACCACACTCAGCCAGTGAGCGCACCAGCCATCCCTATATAGGATCCAAACCCGCGGCCTTGGCGCTCCCAGCACCGCACTCTCCCGAGTGAGCCACGGGTTTGGCCCTCTCATTTTATTTTGATCTCATCATGGGGCCCTGCTTCCGGCCTTACAAGGGCAGGACCTCATCTGGCTCAGTGTCGTGTCGTGTCTAGCTCAGTACTGTGGCACTGAGCAGCCCTCCACCTCTGGGGTGTGTGGGTGGCAGCGTCCCTGTGCTCATGCCTTTTCCTTGTCCCGTGAGCAGTGTTGGCACTTAGATCCCCAGCCGACTCCGGATTCCACACTCCTCAGAGCGCTAAACCAGCCCTGCAGTGGGATCACTAGGAGCACTGGCACCTTGCCCACGGGGCAGACAGATTTCATCTTCCGTGGTTTTCCCATCTGACAAGGGACATCTGCTTGAGGCAGCCAGGCCTTGATATCATGCTGCTAATCAGTTGTCAAAGCCAGTGCCCTAAGTTTAGAGCCACCCTGCATTACAGAAGAACCACGCTACTTCTGCAGTGGCTCAGGGCAGAAGCAGGGCCTGCCAGGGGAATAGATGGGATCGTAAAGGCTGGGCCGCTGGCAGGAGCGGGAGCTGCTCAGCCTCACCTCTGCAGCTGGGGAAGGGCCGGGCAGTGCCATTCCTTACCAGTGGCAAACATGCTAGCATGGTGACATTCCTATCTTATGCCTCACTACCATCAGCGCCGTGGATGTTGGTGTAAATGCTTCATATGAAAAATTATGTAAATAACTATTAATGATACCAGGGAGGGGGATAAATGATCTTGCAAGTGGCTGACCATGGAGCCTTGACGACTCTGCTTGTGAAATGGCTCTTGTGTTTGGTCCCTCCTCCCTGCCCACGCCCCTCCCCTGGCTCACTCAGTGGATTAGTACCACAGCCCCCTGCAGGGCTCATGGCTGCACATCCTCCTCCCCGCCCACAGCCAGCTTTCTAGAATGCACATCCTGCTCAAAGCTTTGAGCCGCTCCCCCAGGACCTACACGGTAGAGTTTGAATCCCTCCCCCTGGTTCCAGAGGACGCGAGTAGCTGGAGTTTCAGCTTCCCTATCCCTCTCCCCTCCTCACTGCCCTAGCCCGTGTGGGAGCCAGGACCAACCAAGCAGGTCAACCATCCCCTTGGCTCCAGGGACCACACCAGGGTTGAGCACAGGTCCCAGGCCGGGCCAACCAGAATCTTCCCTGGGGCTTTTTGATTTGGACTGAAGGACAGGCAGCTGAGCCTGTGGATCATGGTGCTGGAAGTGCATGGAGCTGAGCCTGCCTGGGCCATCTCCTCCCCCTGGGGAGAAGGTCTCGTTTTAAAAGGGGAAGGAATGAAACCAAACTGAGATGATCAGGGATGAGGCAGCTGGTGGGGAGACAGGCCAGGTGGGAGGCCTGAAGCTGGGCTTCCTCCCACAGCTGCTCCTGCAGTTCCAGGAGCACCCCAGCATCTCCCCTGCTATGGGCGCCAATGCATCTGTATTTTTCGCATTTTGTTGGGTTTCTGCCACAACAGGTGAGCACCAGCCATCCGGCACTCAGGGCCCGCACAATCTGGACTCTCACTGCACCTGTGATCGCATCTCATCTCACCCCTTCATCCCACCCCGGGCCCCTGCGGCCCCCGCGGCCCCCGCTCACTGTGCACATCCCTCTGCCTCCAGCCCACTCCCTGTCTCCTTGGCAATTCCTACGTATCCTTCCAGATCCAGCTCCCGCCTCTACTTCTTGATCCCACCTTTTCCGCTCCTTTGTGGGACCATCTCACCAGGCTTCACCCTCCGGCAGGATGTCCCACACTCAGGACTGATCACCACGAACATGTCGTCTCCCCTGTGAGTGCTCCCTGACGATGGGGCACATCCTGGGCTCTCTCTGGCAGCTCCTATGCTGGCTGCCGTGCAAAAAGCAGCAAGGAAATTTCGTTTAACAAATAATTTAAAAAATAAAATTACATTTTTTTTCAGGTTACTTACATTATTGAGAAAATTTGAAATTTTAAAGAAATATTTTAAAAAATTAATCTCCATAGTCTACCACTGGGCTAGAAACACCAGTTTATTCGGAGCCTTTCCTTTGGGATGTGCACAGACACACGTGTGGTCACACATGCACACACACGTGTATGTGTTTAATGGCCGAATAATATTCCATTCTGTTGATGGGCCATTTCTTACCCCCCCAATCCAGCATGACTTTTTTTTTTTTTTTTTTTGTGGCTGGCCTGTAGGGAGGTCTGAACTCTTGACCTTGGTGTTACAAGGTGGTGCTGTAACCAACTGAGCTAACTTGCCAGCACTCCAGTTTCTTGCTACGACTAATAATGCCATGATGGTCACCCCTGTACATACATCCCTGACCATCTTTCTGTGGATTCCTGGGGGTGGATTCCTAATGATGGGATCATCAGACCCAGAGGTGTGCACGAACATTCAAGGTTCTTGGTTTTTACTAAAATTCTGCCAACCTGAACTGCCACCAGCAGGAGACCCACCCTTGTCAACACTGGAAACATCTTCGCTAATTTAGTAGGGACCTTTGTTTTAATGTACATATCTTTGCATATTAGTGAGTCGTAATGTTTTTTTTTTTTTAGGTTTATTAACTTTTAAAATTTGTTTTGTGACTGATTTGGAATGATTACCTCTTTACCTCATGGTCACAGGTGTGATAAATGTTGTCAAAATCCAGACAATACTATAGAAATATCCACCAATTTGGGATTCTCCCAGAAATGGGAGAGGGGAGTTTTCTGGTGGCAGCTCCTGGGACAGGCCTGCCCATCTTCAGTCAGAGGGCTGGAGAAAGTTTTATTGGCCAAAACATAAACATAAACAATGATTACAGAAAGCCTGAAGCCTGGGGCTGTCCCTGGCCTCCAGCCCTCCCCTGGACAGTAGTTACTCCTGGGGTGGGTGGTGACCGGAGGGCACAGGAGGGGGGCTTCTTCATCCTGGTGATGGAAGATCTGCACTCTTCTCTGCAGGCAGGTTACACTTCTGTGACAAGGACACCTCCAATTGCCCCATAGTGCTCTGGGCTCCTGAGCATGGCCACTGCCCCCCTCTAGTCTGCAGGCTGTGGTGTCCCATGGGCCCAGGCATGACAAGGAGGTCTGCAATGATTGGAGTAACCGAGATCAGTGACAGCAGCCCTGCCGCCTGCACATGCGCATGGTGTCCTGGCCCAAGTCACACAGCAAGCAGTTGGGCTGGTGTGGATCCAGCAGCTGCCCGCAGAGCCATGCTGTACTGCTGATGGGCACACGCCACCTGCCTGTCTCCCACCACATTAGGCCTCAGATGCTGCAAGCCTTGGTGCAGGCTGCCACACTCATTCTGTGTGCCCTTCCTGGGCTCTTCTGCTCTGTCTGCGTAGTGCCCACACTCATCACCCAGGGCTACCACTGGGCAGCAGAGGCCTCCTCAGGACATAGGCTCAGTCCTGCTTGTCTCTGGATCGCAGGACCTGACGGCAGGCTGGGAACAGAGCAGCGAGTGGGCAAATTGCTGACTGCCGTTTGTGATTTGGGCCCTTTCAACCCGGCTATGACCACCAGAAGCTGACTGAGAAACTCAAATCCAGAGCACGCACATAATGCCAGTACTTCACTGGGATAAACAGGATCTCTCCAGGAGACAGGATGCAGGACAGGAATGGGGCCTCGGCAAACCTGGGGAACTTCTCTAAGTCGGGATTCTCCACGTCAACCTGAAGAAAGCAGAAGACATCATTTGCTGGTCCCCAGGCACAGTCGGGGAGGATAGGCCACGTCACACTGGGTCCCCGAGTTCCCACCTGGCTCGTGTTATGAAGAAGGTGCGAGTCATGAGGATATAAAGCCTCCGAGTCCCGGGGGGAATACAGGCGGATGTATTTCCTGCCAATCACCTGGGAAGAGAGAGCCCTCAGTTGGTTGATGGATTCACCTCCTGCAGCTGCCCACGCTGGCCCTGCAGTCCCAAGACCCGACAGCCCCCTCACCTCTCTGTGCCTCTCATGTTGTTCCCTGTGCCTGGCCTGCCCTCCCACCACACACGTGCTGAGAACTCCAAGTGTGTTTTCCTCCAAATATATTGTGAATCAGTAACTCCATTATTGTAGCTGACAGTAATTAAGCACATGAATGTGCCAGGCGCTGTGTAAGTGCTTTCTGTGTGTTAACTCATTTAATCCCCACGACAACCCTCTGAGGTGGTTTATCTTCACCCCCATTATATAGGTGAGGAAACTGGAGCATAGAGAGGTTAAATGAACTGCCCAGGTTCACAAAGCTGACAGGTGACAGATAGCTGGTGTTCCTGCCAGGCAGTCTAGTTCCCAAACCCCAGCTCTTAGCCTCTCTCCTGTCTTTCCTATTTGGACTGGTCTGCTGGGCTAGAAGAAGGTGTCCTATGACAGCAGACAGACAGCCATCCCCCTGCAGTTAACACACATGCTCCTCTGCCCGGGTCTCAGGTAAAAGCCATCCTGGTTTGGATGGCTGGCTGGCAGAGGGCAGGCAGAGGGCAGCCTGGGGCTCCATCCCCTGAGGACACTCCTGTGCCCTAGGATCTCATAGGATGAACCCAGTCCAGGAGGAACCACTGCTGGAAGCAGCCTGACTGGGGAGGGCACACCCTGGGGCCTGGTCCCACGTCTGTTCTCATTTTTGTCCACATCCCTTACACAAATTCTTGTTTCTCTTTTGAAAAGCCTGGTGTTTAAAGGTGGATAATGTGGCCAGGCCACGTGGCTGGGTTGGGAGGACGGGCAAGACCACTGTCCCAGCAGCAACTCCAACCTGGGCTAGGAAGTTTTGCTGGGGGTCCTGATGAAGTGGGGAGACAGTTCCTTGGGGACCAAACCAGGCATTAATGGTGATCTCGTCTTCCTCCCCGTCGCCCAGGCTGCAGTAATCCGGGATACTGATGTCCTGCTTCAACTCTGGGATCTGTGGGTGTCAGGGCAGACATGGAAGGTAAGGCCAGGCCTGGGACACAGCAGCCCAGAGGCCAACGCACTGTCCAGCGAAGAGTCACATGCACGCCACTACTACATCCGTATTCTAATGGCTAGGGGTTTAATAATTTAAAAAAAAATAATTGAGAGGAAAGAGTTGTAATTTTATTTTCGTATTTGTTTCCTTTTTAAAAACCTGATACCAGTGCTTTGTACTTAAGAATAAACCAGCTTGCCATTTTCTAAAGAGTTAAATATTTAAAAAATAAAAAAAATCAAATTAAAGAAAAAAAAGAAAATGGGATTGAATATTTATCAAATCTCTGGAAGGGAAGATTTTCCAAAATTTACTAATGGTAAAGAAATCACAATTGGTACATTTTAACTAAATTAATTACTATAAAGACCAACAAACCAGGAAACTTATTTGAACTAACTGTGGTGAATGAGGGGTTAATGTACAGTTATACAAATTAATAAAGAAAGCACTAAGTTCTCAATACATAAATTACACAAATAAAGGAAAAAAAACAGATAACATATAGAAATGAATTAGATATAAGGGTTTCCATCATATTAGCAAATAAACCCAAATTAAGTCAACAATGAGTCATCATTTTCCACTAATCAATCAAATAAGCAAAGACTGAAGATTATGATAAGCCCCAGCGGTGGCGAGGATGTGGTAGAAGGAACACTTTCAGGCAGGGCTGCTGGGGACATGAAGTGGTAAAGCTATTAAGACAGCAACGTGGTAATGTTAGAAGTTTTCAGAGCTCAGTGTGACCCAGGTAGAAGAGACCCACCTAGAAAGGCTGGAACGTTCTCCCAGCGGGGAACCTGTCCAGATGCCACGTTCTGTACTCTAAGAGTCTGCCTCAAGTCACCTGTGCAGAGATGTGGAGGTGCAGGTGTGTCTGTGAGGCGCAGCCGGGCTCCTCACTGAGGAGTGAGCCTCTTTGAGGAAGAGCTAAGGGGGCCTCGAGAGGTCGTGACATGAGGGCCACCTCTTGAGGGCCACAGAGGGACGAGGTGGCTCTCAGGGGTTTGCGGTGATGAAAATGTGATGAGAGGGTGCGGGGAAACAGCGATCACTGTCCCCCTAGTGTCTGCTTATGCCCACGTGCCCTCTCAGGCAGCAAGGCACTCTGACATCTTTGCGAGAGAATACCTACAAAGGCGTGGGTTCTTGGCGTCCTACCCTGCAAGCTCAGGGTAGGAACAGAGCATTTGTTTCTGCACTGGGCAGAAACAGGGGCTGGGCAAAGACACCACCTGGGTGTGTGCTCCTGGATCTGCACAGTGCAGTGAGGGTGGCACAAGTCCCCAAAGCTGCAGACAGAGCCACCTGCCCACACATCAGGCAACCCTGGAGGTTCAGGCAGGCGGGGCTCAGCTTCCTCTGGAAAGAACTAGGGTCTTGGAGTGCAGAAAGCACTTGCTGTGACTGAAGCACTTCCTGGCCAGACCCTCAGCAGGAACCGTGGTGACCTCCAGGGCTGAACCCTCCAGGGTGGCCGCCAGCCCCTGACCCCAAGGTATCTGGATCCTTTCCAAGACCCTGGTTGGACTCAGTGGTGTTTTTCAAGCTTGAGAGGTATGAAAACAGGATTGCCTGGGGGACTCGGGTCTTTTCAGAAAGTGAGCCTCCCAGACCCAGGGGCACCTGCAGGCAGATGCTTGCCATTCCTTCTGGAGCAGTTACTGTCACTTCAGGTCACTGGCCAAGAATCCAAGGGCCACCTAGAAAGGTTGGAATGCAGGGAGCCTGGGCCCAGATGGCGCATTCTGTACTCTAAGTCTGTCTCCAGTCATCTGTGTAGAGATGAAGAAATGCGGCTGTGTCTGCTGCTTTGGGCTAACGTAGAAGTTCACAAACTGGGGGGTCCTCCAGCTACCAGTAAGACTCCAAAGTCCTCTCAGAACCTGGGCTCTCACATCACTGTTGCTTCTGGCTGGGGTGACACCAGACATGGCCCTGCGGAATGCTGAGCACAGACTCTGATTTGCTCCTGATGACACCATCGGGATTTGTGAAGGGTGACTGGCTGACCAGATCATGTGATCAGAATCACTGGCTGAGGATTCAGAGACCCCAAGAGAACAAATGCTCCCAGGATGTGACTGATAATTGAAGACAGGCCTAAAATGGTTTCTAAAATCTTCCAAAACGCAGAGTCCCTGGGAAGAAAGTCAGGAACAGATTCTTGGGCAAGAATTTGGTGGGAGCCACTGAGCTTCCTGTAGGCAGAGAAGGTCCCAGAAAGCAGGCTGTGCCACACTGCTGATGGCCCCAGGGATCAGGGCAGCTCAGACTTCTCACTGAGAGCTCTGAAGAGCAGGAGGCCCATGACTGGCTGAAACATCTTCAAAGTCCTGGTTTATCGTAAAGGAACTGCGAGCTCCGGCTTCTGCTGCTAAATATACGTCCTCTTGTTCTAGTGAGATATGAAATGGCTGCTCCAGGATGGGGAGCTAAGCTTAATGGTGGCATTGAGGGTCCCTGCCCATTGCTGACTGTCCCCAGGGAGGCTGTGCCCCAGTATGACTGGGGTCAGCGGAGAGACTGGTCTCTTGGGATCACAGAGGAGGCAGGATTTACAAGTCCTAATACAGGGAGGCCTGGGAAAAGACCACAGTCCACCCACTCACCCCTACCCACTTCAACTTCAGACATGGAGGCCCCTTGAATCTGGCACAGCTCCAAGTGGATCTGGGTTCCCTGGTCAAGACAGGGAGGGCAGCCCTGGCCTCAGCTGTAGACACAGCTGCACCTCAGAGTCTGCAGAGGTGGGGCCCTGGCTTCCCCCCGGCTGTGATGCTGACCCTGACAGACTCCGGTTTTCCTGTTTGGGGCAAGTGTCCTGCCCCTGTCTTTGAATCTTGCCATGTGCTGCCTCCCTGAGCATTTCAGCTGTGCCTACCATGAGGAGCCTCAGGCCCGGCTGTGACCACACCAGTGAAGTCCCTCCTGCATTCCCCAGCTTCATCTATCGAGTTTTTTGGGTCCCAAATCTAGTAGTCTTCCCTGACTGCTCCTGTTCCCTCAATCCCCACACCTGCGCCCAAGTCCAGGTGCCAGCAGTTCACACAAACCTCCCCACGTGCTGGGCACTGCCTCTCCCTGGACCAGTGCTACAGCCTAACTGGCCCCCCTGCTTCTGCCCACCCCAGCTCAGCTCTGAACGGTTGCCAGCGACCCTTTGAACGCTGACACCCGTCCAACATCTCCTGCCACGCCAGGAACACTGGCCTCATCACCCAGTCCCTCCCCCCTCCCCCATGCACCTGCTCCAGTCACGCTGAGCTTGTCTGCCCTTGACCATGAAGGCTCATGCCCGTCTTCCCACATTTGAACTTGCTGCTCCCCCAAGCTGGCACACCCCTTCTCTCATCTCCCCACACAGCTGGCTACTGCTCAGCTCTCGGGCCACTGTTCAAACGTCACCTTCTCAAGAGCCCTTCCCTGGCCACCCGATCTACTTCTCTCTCTTCCCCTGCCACCTGCTACAAGGCCACCCTTTTATTTTCTCTGGGGCACTCATCACCATCTGGTGTGTTTTGGTTTTTAGGTCCACTGGGGCAGGGAAGTGACTCTTGTCACAAAGAATCTCAGGGCCCGGTGGCAGTTCCCATGTGCACCTTGGTCAAGGCCCTAGATGAGTGAGTGGGGGCTGGGGCAGGTGGGACAGAAAGCCCCCCAGGCTGAGCCCTCCTTTTCTCCAGCATCTTAACTAGACAGCTGTGAAAATGGCAAACACAATCTGATTTCTGGTACACTTTACTTTGTTCTCTTGTTTTGTCTACATTTAAAAATAAAGTCTGTTTTTTTCCCATTATGGTGACTACATATACTCATAGGTGATTGGGAAACTACAGAGAAGAGAAGGAAAAACCCACTCACTGTCTTGCCACCCACCACCGCCATGACTCTTCTGTGCTATTTCCTCCTGTTCTTTCCAACACAGAGGCGGTTCTGTATATAATTATGTGCTCTGACTTCCTCACTGCGCCCTGACCAGGCAGCCCCGAGATCCCATAACCCCTTGGTGAGCACTGTGTCCCACACCTCGCCATGTGCCCAGCCACTGGGCCTCAAGTGGCAGGTCGATTCTGATGCAGCCGGTCCGGGGTGGGCCTGGGGTCGACATTGCGTTTCTAAGGGCTCCTGGGGATGCCAGCGCTGGGTTGGAGGCTGCACTGGGAGGGGCAGACTCTGGAGCTTTATTGTGGTCTGTCCCTAACAGGCTTATCCGGGGGAGAAAGAGCCAGGGCAGCACTCCTGTCCCCTGAGCACCCTCCCTCGCAACTGCCCCAGCTCTCCTGCTAGGCTCTTGCGGGACCCTCTGCTCAAAAGCCTCCCAGGGCTCTTCTCCACCTAACAGATCTGAGTTTTTGGCCTGGCCTTCAAGGCCCCTACGATTTGGCCCCAGGCCTCCTCTTTGGCTTCTGCCTCCTCTCTTCTAAGCAAACCCTCTCAGCTGGCCTTCTGTGCCTCGCTGCCCGTGCCTCCATGCGTGGGCTGCTTCTCGCTGGGAATGTCCTCTTGCCTCTGTCCTTGGGAGCTTCTGCTCTTCCATGTCAGCTCCAGCCCAAGTCCTACCTCCTCTCCCAGTCTTCAGCAAGTCTATCCTGAGGGTCTTCCATCCAGCCGGCCAGGGCTGAGCACCTGGAAGACCCCAGGCAGGCCCAGGCATTGGGGACACTTGAGATATGGTAAGGACAGTATGCAGGCATGCCCAGAGAGCTGTCAGAGGAAGCGGCCATTAGCCCTTTCATGGCCTTTCGGAGCCTGTGTCCTCGCCTGGCTCTCTGGGGCCAGTTCCTGACCACACCTGGACTTCTCAGTATCCCCACCCCTAGGGACCACCCCAATCTGCTGGTGGCCTGCCTTGCCTGTTCTCATACTGTGCAGTGGTGAGGAGGGGACAGGGTGGCCACAGGAGGTCTCCTGTGTGCACTGTAGGGAATGGCACCAGGGGTGGCAGGTGAGCATGGTGTACTCCTCCCCACATTCTCGCATCAGAGCCCAGGAAGGGAGGAGAGAAGGCGAGGTGACACGTCTCAGACTCACCTGGTCAAAGAGCTGGTGCTGAGCAAGGTACCCGATGTCCCTTGACTAGTCCACAGGAGAAAGACCAGAGGTGACACAGAAAGTCCAGTCAGTTGGGGCAGACATCCTCATGCTCCCGCCCCAGCCCCAGCCCACCACCAGGTGACAGCCCCCCCACTTTGTCTTGTGTGGTCCCTTCCTCTGATCCAGGGGCTAATGTGATCAGCACCTCCACGGGCAGGGCGGGGATGCAGGGCAGGGGACTCAGGATTTGGTGCTACCTCTGCCACCAAGGGTGCCCTGAATGAGTTACCCTGTGCCCTGAGGCTATTCCCTCTAATGAAAAATGAGGGGCTGCACACACGAGGACTTTTTTTAAAAAATAAAAATGGGATCACACTATATGTATTACTTTGAAATTTGCTTTTTTTTCATTTAATGACACATCATGAATATCTGTTCAGGCTAATACATACATATCTGACTCATTCTTTTGATGGCTACATAATGTTTTATAAAGAGGATACACATCATTATCAATTCAACTATCTCCCTGTTGGTGGACATTCGGGCTGTTTTCTCAAGAAACAGCCTAATATACGGGTCTTCATATTTATGTGGGATAGGCTTCCAAAAGTAGGACCACTGAGTCATGGGTATGTGCATTTTACCTTTTAATACCTTCCACCAGGTGATTTCCCAACAGTTAAATCATCTGTACTCTTACCAGCAAGTAATGTGAGCGCCCATTTTCCTGCATCTTTGCCTGCACTGGATATTACCATTTTGTGAAAATTTTGCCAATCAGATGGACGAGAAGATCACTGCTTTACACACTGGGCCCCACAATGCTCATGGGGTTCTGTGATGATCTCTAAAGCATCTAGAAGGCTCAGGTGGGGCAGAGCAGATGGGCCCTGGCACCTCTCACCGTGACTGCAGCCAGAGCAGAGCTGCTCTGTCCGACGTCATTATTGCTGACAAGCCCACTGTGGTTGATAAGCCTGTGCTGCTCTGCAGTAGTGAAGCCCATCTTTAGGATGCCCCGAGAGTCTCTGTCTCTCCATCACTCTCCTTTGTTCCCTCTCTTTCCTTCCTTCTTTCTGACAAGTGTTACTGAGATGTCACAATATGCCAGACCCTGTGCTAAGTAGTGGCCCAGAGGACATCACTGCATACGTTAACCAAGTGCTGGCCATGCTGTGCTGACAGCTATGTGTGTTTTAGTCCTCAAAACCCTGCTGTGAATCAGGCATTAGCAACTTCTGACTAATTAATGCCTACTAAATCCTAACTCACCGAAAGGCAGGATATTGAGGATAGAGAGGTTAAGTGACCAGCCAATGCCACAGAGGAGCAAGCGACAGCACAGGATGCAATGCAAGCCTGTGCTGCCTGGCTCTGCAGCCCACCCTCTCATCCACTGCAACACAACCCCTCCAGTTGCACCTCTGCTCTACAAACCAGGCTTATTCCCAGCAGGCTCGACAGCAAAGGCCCTTCCAGCTGGGTTTATTCCTAGGAATGCAGGTGGACACGGGGAGCTGGTAGGAGCACTGGAGGACACGGTACTTCTCTGGTTCCCAGCTCCTTTCTGCAGGCCTCCAGGTGACAGTGGACCGAGTGGAGGTGATAGGGGAGGAGTGCAGGAGGCAGGAAAGGAAAGATGTCCATGAGCATGGACAGAGGTGGCCGCAGCCCAGAGAATGACACTGAGGGCCTGCGGAGGGGGCTGGGATTTAGGGGTGAGAGAGACGGGGGCAGGAGAGGCATGAGGAGAGGTGGAGCTCTGAGTGGTCCCTCAGGAGTGCACAGTTATGATGCTGAGAAAGACAGAGGAAGAAACTCTCGGCCAGCATGACACTGATCTGGACTCTGATTGCAGCAGATCCATGATTAAATCTGATCAGAACTGGCAGTGGTGGGGCTGGGGCTGACTGTGGGAGTGCATGAGAACCATAAAACACTGATGCTCAAGTCTCAGAACCATGCAGGACTGCAGATCCTGGGTGGACATCCCGTGCCTTTAAGGGCCAGGGCCTCCACTACAGGCCTCCCTGGTCTCAGCCTGCAGGATGGCTCAGACACTTGAGGGCTAGACAGTCTACACTCTCTGCACCTGGGTCTCAGGAGGATGACACCACCCACTGCCTTTACTGTCAAGAATCTGAAATGATAAAATGGTGCAGCTGCTTTTGAAAAACAGTCTGGTGGTTCCTCAAAAAGTTCAACAGGGGAACTACCACATAAATCAGAAATTCCACTCTAAGTATATACCCAAGAGAAATGAAAATATATATCCACACAAAAACTTCTATGTGAATGTTCGCAGCAGCTTTTCAATTTTTCATACTAAACCAATAAGTAAGTGGAAACAACCCAAGTGTCCATCAGTAGATGGAGAAACAAAACATGGTCTATCCATAGAATGGAATACTACTCAGCCATAAAAAAGGATGAAATACTGACATGTGCTACAATATGGACAAACCTTGAAAACATTATGCTGAGTGAAAGAAGCCAGACACAAAAGGCCACATATTGAATGATTCCACTTATGAAAAATGCACAGAACTGCAAATTCCCAGAAACAGCAGCAGAATAGCGGTTGTCAGGATGGGGGAAGTGGGAATGGAAAATGATTACTAATGAGTACAGGGACTCTTTGGGGGTGATGAAAACATTTTTGAAGTAGATAGTGGTGATTGTTGCACAATCTGTCTTATGAATATATACTAAAAAACACTGAATTGTACCTTCCCACCCCTAGGAAGTAAAAGCAGCTTAAATGAATCCCTCATGTCTTATGTCTCATATGCCCTGCTGCGGCTAAGCTGCCTGCCTTCCTTGCTCTGGGCAGCATGCTGACCACAGACTCTCACAAACTGACTCTTCCAGAACCCCCCACTGCAGCTCATGGAGGCGAGCTGCCCAAATGGACTGTGTTCTCTCCCTTGTAAGTATCAGGGAAAAGGAGTCCTAATGACATACCTCGCCCACGATGTATCTGCTGATGAACTCGTTGACTGTCATGAGTGTCTGGGACCACTCCTCGTCTGTGTACCTGGAACCAACTTCCACTGGGACTGTTCGGCAGCCAGCAATCTCTCGGATATACTCCAGACTATTAGAAACATGTGCATTGTCATCATTACTGACATTTGTCAGGCATGGTGCTAAGTGTGCTTTACGTGTGGTCCCTTTTATTCCTTGATCCTCCCAAAACCTCATAAGGCAGAGGCTACCATTATCCTGCACTTGACTGGTGAGGAAACTCAGGCACAGAGAGGTGAGGGTACTCTCCCAAGGTCACACAGCTAATACACTGCGCCATGCAGCTTTGCAGACAGATCCAATAACTCTGGTTTGCTGGGTTGTTCTATTTCCCTGCTTGCCAAGAGCCTCCTAACTTCTCTCTTTGCTCATGTTGTCACTAAGCTTTGAACAAATGGTGGGCAGTACAGTGAGGTGCCTGGACTCTGAATGCTGGTGGCCTGCGACTGGTCCAGGTCTCCTCAGCTACAGACCAGGGGACCATCAGCAAGTTACTTAACCTTCCTGAGTCCCTGTTCGGTGCTGACAGTGCCTGTTTCATGGGAACCAGGGAGGATAAAACGGGATAAAACACAGCAAGAGCCTGTCCTGGCACCTGGTAAAACAGAATGAATGTCCTCTGTGCCGATGGCTTCATGCACAAGCTTTAGTGAGAACCACTCCCTTTGCAAAGCTACTACAAAAGAGGCTGACTTGGCCAACTTTCCCTGAGATACACTGCCTCAGTTCCTCAGTTGTGCACAGCCGAGGCATTATGGCCTCTCTCTAGCTGCCTGATCTCATCTTGGCACTATAAATCTGAGGAGGAACTAGAAGCAGACAAGACTAGAGACCACAGAGCAGCACCGAGCAGGAGGAATTATTCCTGCGCTTAGCCTCAGGGCCCTGAGAAGGTCCTACAATCCTGAAGAATTGCATAATAGACTCATCATAAGCAAGCCACTTAGGTGCTCCTTAAAAAATTGCTTAGGGCAAGCGAGCTGTGGAAGGTAAGAATCTCATAACCTTTGGCATAATTTCAGAGCACCTTACTTTTAGTTCTTGTTTAACCCCTAGGCAATCAGTCCTGGGGCTGGTAGGGAAGTGTCTGCAGGCTGTACTGACTTGGAGGATGGGAGGAGGAATTCAGGGAGTCCTGGAGGGTGAAATGGGAAGAGGGACCTCAGCGTCCTTCAGCAACCACCCACCTCCACTTCCTCAAGCACGGCCAGTGGTCAGCCACGCCTTCCAAGATCACAGGCCTCTCTGGAACCAAAAAATGCTCCCTGAAATACTGGAGGGATGGACGGTGAAGCCGTGGGACTGTTCTTTCTAACTTCACTTCTGGAATCACAACATGGTCCGTCCTTGCTTTCTGTTTAAAATCAAAAGAAAACAAAATGGCAACAACCTTTGAAGGTCAAAATCTGAGGCATACCGGCAGGAATTTGCATCAGTGGTAGGACAACTTAGGTGTCATTAACAACAATGACAACAGATGGCATGTATTATTATCACTGCTATGACTATTTGCTCCTCATGAAGTCAAGGTTTTTCTTCTTGACCATTTCATTAAATATATTCGCTCAATTGTAAAAATAATATAGTGCTTTCACAGGAATTCTGCAATAAAGAACTTACGATCCCAAACTCCAGCACCTTCATTCCCACCTATTCCTTTCCCACCGACACACACATCTCTGAACCGCTGGTGGCAACAGATGTGATGCACAAGCGACCCTGCTTCTTCCATCCAATCATTTATCTAAAGCAGCTTCTATGTGGCCACCCAGTGCTCACCATTTCTTATGTGAGAAGCATCATAACTTACCTGACCATTTCCTGAGTGGGTGACCTGAGCAAGTTACTTACTGTCCCTAAGCCTCAGTTTCCTCATCTGTGAAACCACTGGGAGAAAAGATCACACATTTGAGGTGCCTAGGACCCCTGCCCGGGCGTGTCAGCTCCACACTCTCTATCCTGTCACAGTCCTCTGAGAGAGGCTGTGCCTTTCACATACTCTGTCATCAAGCAGCACCCCCCCCCCCCCCCCAAAAACCCCTCTCCCCCCCCCCCCCCCCCAAAAACC